GAATATTGGACAACCCCCATATGATGAAGAAATCTTTTCATAACGAAAGCACAACGCAGTTACATCTTTGGGAAGTCTCCATAACCCTAAACCCCAAACTCTAAACCCCAAACCCTAAACCTTAAACCCCAAACCCTAAACCCCAACCCCTAAACCCCAAACCCCAGACCCAAAAACCCAAACCTTAAACCTCAAACCTTACAACCTAAACCCTAAACCCGGAACCTTGAGACCTGGAGGTAGAAAATGAGGAGATCCGCCAATCCTGGTCTTCAGCAGTAAGCTTGGCCCCGGAGAAGGCTGGGCTCGGCTCACACTTCCGACGCGGTTTAGGGGGTTTAGGGTTTGGGATTTAGGGTTTAGGGTTTGAGGTTTGGGGGGTTTAGGGTTTAGGACATGGGCTGCTGGGCTGGGGGCCTTCCAAACGTAGCTCGTCGGTTTGGGGGGCTTTTGTGGGGACTGGGGGGTTTATTTATAGATATGACATTTCATTTTTCGTACACAAAATCTGACGAAACTCTGGGAAAAGTGGTGCTACACCACTTTTGGGGGTCATGCAGAATGCGGCGAGCTCCAAGTCCTGCAGTCCTAAAGCTTCCAGGAAACCCGGCAACACCAAAGGGTCCATGTGAGGTATAGTCTAAACACAGGGTTTAGGGATTAGGGTTTAGAGTCTAAACTCCTCAGAGGGTTTGAATAGGGGATGATATAGGGGAGTATTTTAGGGCTTAGTAAGGGGGATAGTAGGAGTTTAGACTTAGCTCATGTAGCTATATATACTTGGGTCCCAGTGTAGGTATATGGGAAACCTATTGGGCCCTAAGTACATAATGTATTCCTACACTGGGGTATTGAATAAGCCCCTTTTTTTTCTCCTTTTTCGGGGTCCTAAGTTCTATGTAAAACTAAGCTATACTATACTCAAAATTCCGAGGTTACTGAAGATACTATGCACATGGACCCTTTGGGAAGGGTAATTTGAAGGGCTCATTCAAAACCCGAAACCCTAAACCCAGTCGCACCTTTTCGTGTCGCAGGCTTTGGCAAAGCACGACGTTCATCCCGGGCAAGTGTGTCAGGTGGGCTCCCCACCAGTTTAGGGATTAGCGTCTAGGATTTCGGGCTTAGGGTTTGGAGTCTGGGGTTGAGGGTCTCGGATTCAGGGTTTACCGTTTAGGGTCCAGGGTTTAGGGTGTGATTGAGAGCCATAGGGTAGACGTCCGCGTCTTTTTGCATGGAACCCCACAACGTCAAAAGGAAAGCAGTGTTTCTGGTAGCCTTTACGAGGTTCAATGTTGGCCTGCCTCGGGTTTGATGTCAAGATATCAGCGAATTTGGGAAACTAATAGGAGGTCGATCTCGCCGAAAGTGTTATACACAACTTGTTCATAAGATACAGATAGTTGTCTCGGGGTCTCACAACCTTTAGCACCATATAAGTTATGGGAATGTGACTTGGCTGTCTAGGGCAGCCACATATCGAAGTTACTGTCCTGCTCCTGGATTCGGTCCACCTGTCACAACTGTGACCACCATAATTGTCAATGTATTGTGTTGTGTGTAGAATGTGTTCGTACGTGCGTATGTACCCATGTGCGCATGTATGCATGTCTGTCTTTCTGTCTGTCTGTATGGATGTAGGTGTACATGCTTCTTCCTGCACATACACAAGCAGGTACATAAGGACAAATGTGTAGACATGTGAAAGGTCCTTCCCTTGAGGGTTCGACTTGCCACATAGGGTAGCTTAGCTGGTCAATCACTGTCATGGGTCAGAAGGGGCCATGACACACTGTCAAAAGATTAACATCAAGCGTAGCACGACTCTGATACCAACAGCAGGTCATAGTTTCCTCCTCAACCCCAAACTATCCAAGCTTTGAGCGCCAGGTGATCTCTGACCATGCAATTGCGGTATTGCAGGCATATCAATGACCCTGATATGAGCGTTATCACTTGCGGTCACTATTGTGTCCGCATTACCTAAACTCTGAATGCAGCCCTAAACCAAACCCTGAACAGCTAAAGTTTCAATCCTAAGCCTTAAGCCCTACGTCAAACCCTGAACCCCAACACAAAATCCAGGCCCTAAACCCAGCCTGAAGCCTTACACCCTACACCCAACTTTACTGACTTTACTGCCGGTCAGTGGGAAGAAAGCGTTGCCAAAAACATCATTTAATCTCATCCCAAAACCCCCAAGCCGTAACCGCCTCCCGTTATAGTAACTCTCCTTAGCCCCCGCCCCCCGCATGATAAACTCCTGCACCATAGTACCACTAATTTCTAGGAAACGGTTCTTGTGGGATTCGTAATATTGTTCTTAATAGTATGAAGTTAGTAACATATAACTGCTGTTTAGTATTCTCACCTGTTCGGAACACTATTGCTATTGGGGGGTGCATTGTGAGGTGGAGGCCAACAGCAAAGAGATGTACTCGGCATCATTTCTTTTGGAGGCCTGGGTTCGAGATGGTGGGAGGCTTAGGGTTCTCTGAATTTAGACTTTCCCTGTAACCCCAACCACCTACAATTTAGCGATAATTGCTCCTTAATTAGTAGTAAGTATCGCCCAACAAAGTGCAGGTAATTGGGGTCACAGGTGGGGCCGAGGGCTCGGGGTTTAAGATTTTTCCGGTTGAGAGTGTAGGGTTGATGCGTCCATATAACCAAAGGGTATACACTGAGGCCCCAAAGTGGCGACGGCTGGTGTCCTTCAGCGCAGCGTATATCTGCGAAAATGTTTCGACCCTTTCGGCTGATGAATCCCAAAGCCCTACACGGTTTAGGGTTTAGGGTTTAGGGTTCACCCTATACCCGTTTCGTGGTTGAGTAAGAGGAGGGTCTCAGGAAGCCTTTTGTCAGGTCGAAAATCAGTGCACTTCCGAGGCTCAGTCTCCCACACTTGGCTGTAGGGTTTAGGGCCTAAGGCTCCAAAACCCTAAAATTGCGGTTGAGGGTTTAGGGTTTAGGGAAGCCTGGGCCCAAAACCCTAGCGGTGAAGGATTTTGTGTTGTTCGGGAAAGGCCTCTGCCAACAGTCGGCAAGCCAGGACCCTAAACCGCTAAACCCTGAACTCTATATCATCCCTATAACCCTATGTATAAACCCCCAAAATTACCCCTATATAATCCCGATGTAACCCCTATATAACCCCTATGAATCGTGACGCCCCTATACACTTATCTCTAGCAGCTGCAAACGCCTTGGCAGCGAGCACGGTTTAGGATTCAGGGAGATTGGGGTTTAGGGCTTAGGGTTGAGGGTTTAGGGCTTAGGGCTTAGGGTTTAGGGTTTAGGGCTTAGGGGCTTAGGGTTTAGGGTTTAGGGGAGTGAATGCAAGTATCATTGCAGGTGTAAGGACTGTAGGAGCTTGAATAAGCACCGATCTTATCCCCTACAACCTCTTGAAAACTGATATAATATAAACCCCATTCTGCTCGAACCAGCCCCTACAGTATGCCAAGGTGACAGCAGGGATTCACACCCACACTCCCACTTCATCAAGCAAAAGCAAGCAATGGCTGGTCACATGATACAGATATCCTAAACCCTGATAGTAATAGTAGAAATAATGGGAATTGTATTAACAATAACCCTAAACCCTAAACCCCAAACCCAATATCAGAATTGGCAATCGTAACCCTAAGCCCTAAACAGCGAAACACGGAGAGTTAGAGAAAGGCGATTTTAGGACAAGGTCACCTGACAGCCCTCTGGTGACCTTACGGCCCGCTGCGGATGACATCTTGCGACACCTAGGGTGATCTTATCAAATCCCGAGGATATAGTGTGGATATATACATGTATGTATATAGAGTGAGGCAAGAGCTCAACCCCTCCCTAACCCCAGCCTTTGAGAGTAATCTAGAGCGAAACCCAGAAGTTGAAACTGCACACCCCTACCTGGTCCCTATCAAAACCTTAAGTTTGGGGATAAATGCCACAAACATATACCTTCATGCCTGCATCCTTGTTCAGAATGGTTTTGGTGGTGGTGGGGCTTAGGTTCGAGAATTTAAGGCTTCGGGTTGCCGATTTGAGGTTTAGGGTTTACGGCACCTTCCGGATGGAGAGTCTAAGATCTCGACATATCTGGGAGTAGAGGTGTGGATTTTCATACTTAACCCCCTATAGAAACCCCATTGATACCCCTTTTAAAGACCCTATATTCACTCCCTCTCTCCACCTTAAGCACCAGTAACTTGATCCAGTAACTGATGGGTTTGGGGGGTTCGGGGTCCTGACGATAGGTCCCTGTGGACCGCGCCTTTCATATGCTGGTGAGCAACGAGCTGCTCATGGAGCCTTATTCTCAGCTCTTGGTCAGGGTTCACACCTCCCGCGCCTATATGCCCATATGAGCTAGAGTCTAAACTCCTTAAAGGGGAGTCATATGGGAGATTGTGTAGGGGAATACCATAGGGGTTATTAACGGTGATGCTAGGAGTTTAGACTATACTGTAACTCATATGGAAACCCACAGGATTAGGGTTTTCGGGTTTAGGGTATAGATGGAAAATGGAATGGAAGCTGGGGTTACTGTATATAGTGGTTCATACGGGTCAGGGTTTCCAAAAAAGCGGCACCATCATTATGTACTAGGCTTCTGCTGGTTTGAGGGTATGCAGCGCATGGTAAGGTAGAAATGTAAAGCATCTCCCGTCAAAGGAGCAGAAGGTCTTCTAGGGATGTCCTTAAGATGATTTCTAACTGTTGCTTCTCATAACCACAGGGCACCTTGCTTT